ATGAGATAACTTCATATGCTTTTTTTATGGAATGATGCCTCCTGCTGTTTCTGAAGAGGGAAGCTGTGTTTTGGGTTGTGTAAATGTATTTAACTAATTTCAGAGCACTTGGAGGTCAAACATTATTAGATGATATTTATTCCCCACGAGAGTGACTCATTTAGTTATGTTTCAGCCTGTGGTGTGCAAATGGGACGCGCAGAGAAGCCTAAAGTTCCTGAATATCTTTACAAAAATGAGAGCACAGCATTAAGCCGAAGTTAGACTTTAAGTCATTTTAATGAAGACTCTGCAGGCTCAGTATCAGGAGCCTGACATCCTGGGCACCTGGCGAGGGTCTTTGCTGCTCCTTCATTCGGTAAATAATCATAATGGGGAAAGCAGGAATTGTTGATGTGCAGAATAACTCAACTTCATAAAGTTCTTCCAAGAAAAACCTAGTTACCCTCAATTCATAAGAGCAATGTAATTCCAACCATTTCTTAACTGTAAAACTTGATTAGAAATGACATCTGCAGGCTAGAGAGATGGTTCCATGGGTAAAGGCACTTGCAACTAAGCCTGAGGATCGTGTAGGGTAAAAGAGCCAGCCAAAGAAACACACCCTCTTCCTGAAACCAGAGCCAAAAGGTTAAAAAGACCCAGTGAAACAAACAAACTTTGACCCCGAAACCAGACCCAAAGAAACAGTCTTCCCCTGACCAACTGAGCATGAAACCACCCAATCCCTGAGCACGAAATCCAGCCTGTCCAAGATTAGAGATTGAAATCTGACCAGTTCCCACCCTGAAAATCTTCACCCTGGAAAAACCCAACCCCTAAGCAGTCCTATATAAGACCAGTGTCTGTTTAGTTGGGACCTGTTCTTTTCCACCCTGGCAGAGGCAGCCACTCTCCTAGATTCCTTCCTCCCAATAAATCTCTTGAATGTTTTCTATTTCCATCCATTTGCCTGCAAACTTCAAGAAGTCCTTGTTTTTACTGCTGAGTAGTACTCTAATATGTATATATTCCATACTTTCTTCATCCATTCTTCAATTGAGGGGCATCTAGGTTGTTTCCAGGTTCTGGCTATTACAAACAATGCTGCTATGAACATAGTAGAGCATATACTTTTGTTGTATGATAAGGCCTCTCTTGGGTATATTCCCAAGAGTGGTATTGCTGGGTCCAGGGGTAGGTTGATCCTGAATTTTCTGAGAAACCGCCACACTGCTTTCCAGAGTGGTTGCACAAGTTTGCATTCCCACCAGCAATGGATGAGTGTACCCCTTTCTCCACAACCTCTCCAGCAAAGGCTATCATTGGTGTTTTTGATTTTAGCCATTCTGACAGGTGTAAGATGGTATCTTAAAGTTGTCTTGATTTGCATTTCCCTGATCGCTAAGGAAGTTGAGCATGACCTTAGGTGTCTTTTGGCCATTTGAACTTCTTCTGTTGAGAGATCTCTGTTCAGCTCAGTGCCCCATTTTATAATTGGGTTGATTAGCCTTTTACAGTCTAGTTTCTTGAGTTCTTTATATATTTTGGAGATCAGACCTTTGTCAGTTGCGGGGTTGGTGAAGATTTTCTCCCAGTCAGTGGGTTGCCTTTCTGTCTAGAAAACACTATCCTGAGTGAGGTAAGCCAGACCCCAAAAGAGGAACATGGTATGTACTTACTCATATTTGGTTTCTAGCCATAAATAAAGGACATTGAGCCTATAATTCGGGTTATTAGAGAAGCTAAATAAGGAGAACCCAAAGAAAAACATATAGGCATCCTCCTGAATATTAACCTTCATCAGGCGATGAAAGGAGACAGAGACAGAGACCCACATTGGAGCACCGGACTGAAATCTCAAGGTCCGAATCAGGAGCAGAAGGAGAGAGAGCACAAGCAAGGAACTCAGGACCGCGAGAGGTGCACCCACACACTGAGACAATGGGGATGTTCTATCGGGAACTCACCAAGGCCAGCTGGCCTGGGTCTGAAAAAGCCTGGGTTAAAACAGGTCTCACTGAACATAGCGGACAATGAGGACTACTGAGACCTCAAGAACAATGGCAATGGGTTTTTGATCCTACTGCACCTATTGGTTTTGTGGGAGCCTAGGCAGTCTGGATGCTCACCTAAGGGGAGACCATTCTTCACTGTAACACAGCTATAGGTATAGCCTGACTCCTGACAGTCAGGCTGCCTTCTTCTCCACAGCTATAGATGTCCAGGATCCCTTCCCTTCACAGCTCTAGGCTTAGCTTGGCTTCTGACAGTCAGGATACCTTTCCCTTCAGAACTATAATATTTACAGACCTGAGTTTGTCCCCTGTGAATCACAGGATGGAAAGAGAACTGACTCTCGCAAGTTGTCCTTTGACTTCCACATGTATGCTATGGCATGCACACACACACACACAGACACACACGTAACCTATATATGCATAAAACATAAATAAATATGAAAAATAAACATGTGAAAAACAAATGTATAGATAATAAGAATTTTTTTTAAAAAATGAGGACTCTTCTTCTCTGATCCCAAAGCATACTATAAAACTACCAATATTGAAACAATCCGGTATTGGCACATTGCCCAATGAGAAGTAAGCAAAATGGATAAAATTCTAGGAACATATCTAAATATAGAGTATAATGAAGTGAGCAATGGAAATGAAATTTTAACATAGAGAGATTTTATTCATCATGTAGGGTGATCTTTGCAATCATGTTGGCAAAATAAGATCCTTATCTAACGTGTTACACATACAAAACTGAAATTTAGATATTAGAATAGAAACAAAAGTATCAATGTAAATAAAAATTTAAACAAAAAGGGGTCAGTTGTATATGTATCTATGTGTGTTTGCATATGTACATATGTATATGTGTTCATATATGTGTGTCTATATGTATGCATGTATATTTATGTGTACATGTATATGTGTGTATATACATATGTATGTGCTTATGTGTAGATATCTACTAAATAAATAAGTCAAACTAGCCCATAAAAACAGGGTAAGCATGAAAAGATAAGACAGGAAAAGCTATCATGAAAGAAATATAAATAATGTTCCTTAAACATACTAATGAACAGCCTTATTTGTAATACGGGGAATAAAATTAAGGTTCTGATATCTCATCACTTATTACTTTTTTATTTAGCTACTACATTTGTAATAATGGGTACATTTGGATAAAATGTACAGAAACCACAGAAATTTCTCATGTTTTTTACAGGAATATAAGTTGGTACAGCTTTTGGAATATAATTTATCAATTCTTTTTATCACATAAGATGCTTTAACCTTTGGACCATATGTGTGCTTGATATCATATTATTGTTATCTTTCCATGGTACGCAATGTTCAGTCATACAAACGATGCTTGGTTCACTTGTTTGATCCAGATGTTTGCTGCTAGAAGACATGCTGTGACACAGTCTTCACAGCTCTCATTACTTGCCCCATTATTATTTATTCTTTCAAAAAATATATAGTACTTTGATCATATCCCCCTCATTATTCTCTTACTTCCTCCCACCAAACCCCTTCTTATTGCAAATGTCCCCCTTCTACTTTCATGTCTTTTTGTGACTTGCAACATTTAATTATGGATGCTTAATGGGTGTGGATGTATGTGGTAGTATAGAGGCGACATCATTGAGGACTATAACTCCCCATGCCTAGCAACGTAGACTACAACTCATTTGGGAGGGTCAGGTCTCACGAACTCTTTCCCATCTGTAATGGAATGTTGACGGGTCCACTCTTGTGCAGGTAACCATGGTTTCTATGAGGTTATGAATTCAACTAGCTGAGTCATGTCTAGAAGACAGTGTTTTATAGCATCCCTTTCCATCCTCTGGCTTTGACATTCTTCCTGTGGTATTCTCTAAACTTTAGAGGGAGGTTTCTGATGCTCACTTTAGTTATGAGTCTCTGTGTTACGACTGCCCACTGAAGATGGAAGCTTGACTCATATACTCATAATCTATGAGTATAAACATAAACATGCAGAAGGCAGTTAGACAACACTCCAGTTCAGCAAACCAATAATAGTAAGATCTATGACCTCCCCAGCTGTGATTTTTTCCCCAGTTTAGAATATCAGGCATGACTTCTCTCCTGTGCAAGTTTCAAATCCAATCAGAAAGTGCTTACCCCCATAACAGTTATTCTATTTACATCAATGCATATCTTGCCTGATAGTTCAATGTTACAGTTCTCAAGGTTCATAGCAGGCTAAGACCGTTGATGACCTTTCTCTCCTAGCAGTCTGCATGGCTCCTTCTGGTGCTATGAAACTGAGCCAGTAGTGAAGCAGCTTCTAGCTTAGTTCCAGCTTGATTTCTCTATGTCCCGGAACCAAAACGTAGGATATCTTTCAAAATAGGATCTTAGAATTTAGTCTTGTGGAAAAAAACCTAGAACAATGTCATTAGCCTATATTATTTTGTGGTCCTCTGGAGGTTCCCTGACCAACAACTCATGAGGAGATACCTTAATCTGATACTAGAATCTTAATTTAATGTCCCATGTATTCTTAGCCACATCCCTTAAAACAGTTTGATAAAATTATGGTATTTTAATTAACATACAAAATATGTTCTATTTGACTTTGTCTATACCTTAGTTGAAGACAGATTCTCACATGTGAGTCTGTTTGGTCATTTATAGTGAATTTTAATGACCTTGATTAAAGAAACCTGAAGCTGATGTTGATTATGGACTTCCCCAGTAAAATGAATTTCATGTTTCTTAATACATCTAAATTAGTATCTAGCTTTTTAACATTGTGAAATGACATTGTCATCAACAGATGTGTTGTGACAAATTTCTAGCCACCATGGGAGATGCATTTGGCTCCTGGGCTGCATTTGGTCATCCTGATTTCGCTTAATTTTCTTGGCCATTCTTACATTTCTTTTCACAAATTAACATTTTCGTTATACATTTCCAAAAGCCCTGCCTCCATCCCTTCACAGTCCCGTCCACTGTTTTCCTTTATGTAACACTTACCTTCAGGGGGGAAAGCGGCTATTTTGGACTTTGTTACAATTTTTCCTTTCAAGTGGATTTCGATTTGTTGTGTTTTGTTCTTCCTGGAGACAGCAGAGGTCTGCTCAGAGCAGCTTAGCATCGCCATCTGTGTGTATGGAAAAGCAGAGACAATTAAAACCTGTTGACAACTTGGGGCAAAGCTGTGGGCCTCATGTTCTGTAATTTATGTGAAAAGCTGAGGAACAATTAGTTCACGGTGGCTCTTCAAAGATGCACAGCCAACATGAATTTGTCACCTCAACATCTTTGTACCGTAGCAAACGGGTATCTCAGTTCAAGGGATTTAGAGGCACACTCTAGATGCCCAGAAAACAAGCACAGAAGGTGTCATGTAGGGAGGGCGGGAGCTGCTGTCGCCCACCACGTCTCTGGTTAACATATAGGCATGTTCCTGTCCCACTGTTTAGTGTGTTTTTATATCAGGCACTGGAAGAGGCCATTCTGACAATTGGGTGGCATGTCAGTACAGAAGCCCAGGGTGGCTTAGGTGGTGGAGCCAGTGGCTTGTGGAAAGACTTTGCTCTCTGGTTCTCAGACTTGGCCCTCATTCTTAATTCTCTCATTTCTCGGCTGGGCTACCTTAGGTAATTCACTTGCTTATTTGTAAAGCAGAGAAAACACTGTCGGCCTTTCAGGATGGTTGTGATGGGCTGGAGGAAGGGAGATGACACTCACATCCTTGTCTCCTTGTTACCTTCCACTTCTTGTGATGTACTTCCTGCAGCCATCCTTCCTCCAACATTGCTATGGCCAAACCATACAATTGGGTACAAAGGATTGTGTTGCAGTCAAGATAAACCATCTTTAGTGTGGTTCTCTAGTGCCATCTCAGCTACTTGGATTCCAAGGACTACATTTCTGCTTCCTTTCACTTCTTATCAGGCTTTTGTGTCTTCTCTTCCACGCCTATTCTAAAATCATGTTACTGTGTTTCTGTCCTGAGTCCTCTTCCTCTTCCATGTGTTCTGCTTGTGTGGTTTCATTCATATTTATGATGTTAGTTATCATTTATGTATTGGAGTATCCACTATATGATTTAGGTTTAAACATCAGATGACTGAGTCTCTAGATGGTGAAGATTGGGTACTGCACATCTCTGTAAGAGCTCCAGAAGTCATATCTACATGTCTTTTGTATTTCTATCCTGGCCTCTGTTTCCACTCTTTTGGTTGGTCATGGAGTCCTGGGAGGGTAGGTGAGGGGATACTAAGTTTGTCATGGCCTACATTGATTTCTACTGACTTTTGATGAATTCTATCTGCTGAGTGGAGGCTAAATTTGGCAACTTGTATGTTAAGTACAGACAGGGGCCAAATTCTTGTCTCTGCAGTGACCCCTTGTGATTGGATGTAGCGAAGTGTTGTCCTGGGTTAGCTACCCTATAATAGTGGATTTACCACATCCCTGAGATCTTGTCAAGGAAGGGGCTTTGCCACACTGACATCCAAAGGGGCTGTACCAGTTTGCACTCCCACCAGAAATGCAAGGATAAAGAAGATGTGGTACATTTACACAAAGTACAATGTAGTACTACACATCAGAAAAAAATCAATGACATCTTGAAATCTGCAGGCAAATGGATGGATATAGAAAACACACTGAGTAAGGTAAGCCAGTTCCAGAAAGGCAAATGTCATATGTAGTCACTCACAAGTGGCTTTTAGCCATAAAGCAAAGAAAACCAGCCTATAAATCACAATCCCAGAGAACCTAGGCAACAATGAGGACCCTATGAGAGATCTAATCTACATGGGAGATAGAAAACGACAAGATCTCCTGAGTAAATTGGGAGCATGGGGACCATGGGAGAGGGTAGAAGAGGAGGGGAGAGGAAGGCAGGGAAGCAGAGAATAATGTAGTGCTCAATGAAACCAATAAAAAGAAGAGACTTGAACATCTACAAATTTTAATATCTTCAGGGGTTCTAGAGCCCCCACAGATATCAAAGGATTTCTATTCAGTTCATTTAATTTGTATCAACAGTTCTTCTTTAAGAACAGTATATTCTAAGTTATGAAGAAAGACATTGAATAATGAAGAAATACGTTGTGTGGCGAAGCCAATAACTATTTTCTGGTGACTAAGGCCTGAAGTCATGGGTTCAAATGCCACGCTTTTCTCTGTAAACACTCCGCTGCCCTATCCATGGCATCATGCATTCAGAGGGGCGTATAGGGCGGTTCTTCATCCACAGTGCTCAGTGTGCATGACCCATAAGAGGAACTCAAGAAATGGGGCTGAATTAATGACAAACAAAAGAATGAATAAAAACTGCCTGGCGAATGATAAGCACAGCTTGGTCACGAATTTTTCATTTTTGTTAATTATATGAGCAATGAAGCAGAAAAAGGGGGAGAAAACCAAACAGTATCAGGTTATTTTCTGATAAGAGAATATATATATATATATGTATATGTATATGTATATATATATATATGAGGAAATATACTAGGGACCAATTTGGGAAGTATGCATTTAAAGCTAAAGGAAGGGACAGTTTCCTGGGGCCTAGACTTGCTGACCTCATCCTTGGTGGATCATTGATGATCTGTCATGCCACAAAGAGCCCTCTTGGCTAAGTGGTCCTAGGATGTGCTCTGGGATACTAAGGGCATGCTAAGTGCTCTGCTTCTGAGCGACACCCCCAGACCATGCATTTTAGGTGTCGTGTTAATTTACAAGAACTCCTCCGCATGTTCTGACTCCTCTTTATAGCCGCATCCTTCTTGTTTTATGAATCCAATATCTAGACCTTTTTAAATATATTCATTAACTATTTTTAATATGTCTCTTCTAGTTCTGGCAATAGTCTCTTCCCTTGAGATTTGGTGCTGTTCCTTTCCTGCGGATAGTTGTCCTCAACTGCCTGGTGACCTGGTTCATGCATCTCCATTGATGAATGGAGGCTATTTCATAATCATAGCTGTCTTTTGTAGGTTTATTTTATATTCAGACGGACAGTGTATTTCTTAAAAGGTGCCTCCCATGAATGGGAAGCCAGATCAGAGAATCCTCGCACATGGTCAGAACTGATGAAGTGACAGACGGACTTTGGAAACTTCACCTCGGACACAGCCTCAGACACGAATACATTCTGCCTCATCCCCATCAAGAGCCAGTTGAGAGGATGCTTTGCCCCGAGACCAAAATGCACACTGAAACACGCACTCCTCTTCGGCAGTCAGGACATTTGTCTTAGCATGAGTCTACATGCTTCTTGCTCTCTCTCTAGGGAGACACAATCCTGTGCCCTTTGCTCTATACAGGAGGGCACCAGCACTGCACCGGCTCTTTCTGGCTGCCATTCTGCACAGTGAACGGCTACCACATGCCTGGAATTGCCTCAGGCTCCAGCTCCAGCATTCTCTGCTGTGCCCCATTAATATGTCCACTAACCTGCCTCCAGCTGATCCCATCCCAAAACAATTCCGTGTCAAAGTCTTCCACATACAAGGGACCTCCCTTTTCAACTTGATTGCCATCACAGATTTGTTTCTTTTGTTCCCCAATCTTGTCCCTTGTTGAGGGAGTCACTGGCAGAGGTTGGCAGGCTCCTGTGCTCAGGCTTCCATATTGAGAGGCATTTCCCACGTCACAGGTTCTGTTTTCACAAAAAGAATAGAACGCTTGAAAGTCTATCCATCTCTTATCTATACTATATTCCTAGAGATTAAAAGGAACTCCAGATTAAAAAAAAAAGCATAGCTGGAGAGCAGGATTAAATTCTCCTCCTCTTTCTCCTCTTCCTTCTATTCCTTCTTCTGTCCTTCTTTAAGACAGAACCTCACTAGGTAAACCTGACTGGCCTGAAATGTTCTATGTAGAACATGCTGGCCTTGAACTCACAGAGACCTGCTTGTTCTTGCCTCCTGAGTACTGGGATTAAAGGTGTACACCATTCCTGCTTCTTAATGGTTATTTTGTTTGTTTCTGGTTTATTGTTGATGATGATGTTTTAGCTCTTCTTTTTCTAATGATATAAGAGGAGGAGGAGGAGAAAGAAGATGAAGGAGGAGGAGCTGAGGATGTAGGTCAGGCAGTAGAGTGCATGCCTGGCATATATAAAGCCCTGGATCCGACTCCAGTTCCACAAAAATAAAAGAAGAGGGAAGAAGGGGAGGGTGGGTGGAAGAAACGAAGTAAAGAAGAAAAAACATATATGAAAGCAAACAATTGAAAAGTCTTTAGACAGTATCAAGCAGTGCAGATCCTGTCCTCAATATTTGTGCTAAGCAGTTGAAAGCAGCCTCTATTATTAACCTCACCTAAAGATCTTAACCTCTCGGCTGCCCTGCCCTGCCATGCACCATAGATATTAAATGGACAACTTCCAAGAGAAGCTCAGTTATTTTTCCACAGGCATCATATTCTTGCCAACAGGATTCTCAGCACATAGGGACATATGCAAATTCCATGCTCCAATGTCTGCAAGAGGACTCAGACAAAGCAAGCCCAAACAGGCTCTGGAAAGTATATTAAGGACCTACTCGCTTAAGACAAAAGAACACAGCTATTATTCTGAGTCCAAAACCCTATTCTCATAAAAATAACAGAAAATTTAATTCAGATTTGAAATAGTTACAGAGGACAGATTACAAAAAAAAAAAAATGAGAGATTGACACAAGAGATGCTCATCAGACAGGAGAAACCACAGGGGAACCTAATGTGAAGAAATGCCTTAGGAGGCTGGTTTCTCCAGTGTCTTCAATAGTAGATGGGGGCTCTTTGAGAAAAGACAAACTAAACAGAGGCAGTTTCAGGCTTCCAGAGATGGGAAACCAGGTAGGAGAGGGAGGAATAAGTGGACAAAGTAGATTCCTCTGGTGCCAAAGCTGGGATGATGGAACTGTTTGAAGCAGTAAGATTTCTGATCCCATATCAAAGTCAAAGAGAGGCAGGGATCAACAGAACCATTCCTCAGCTTGATGCTTTCCAGTTGCCTTTGCCACAAAGAGGTTTCTGTAAAGAAGGCAGAGTTCAGACGAGTCCTCTAGTTTCCTCCAAGTGCCAGCATAGTTTCTCTTCTCTAGGCCCTTAAAAAATCCTAGTACCCAAATTGTGGAAAGAAACCCTCTTACCCACAATAGGAACACTGACACCTTCATTGTCCTCACAGTCTAGTAGAACTTGGCTGAGGAATTTCAGGCCTTCTGGTCCTGCCTCGCTCTGACGACAATGGCAGGAGAGTTTCTTCTTGAGAGTCCTGTCATCCACCTGTCTCTGTCTTTCTCAAAAGCACCCTCTCTCTCTTTTGAATTGTAGGTGAAGTTCTTTAACTTGTGGAGACTTCAGGAGATATAAAACTGATCTTTTTTTTAACACAATGAGTCCAAAAGAGATGGTTTGCTTGAATGAGGTGGGGCAGTATGTGAGAGTAAGAGACAGCAGGCAGGGAAAGAAAGAGGGTTCCCTGTCAGAAGGAAGGACATTCATTGATGTTTCTAGAATGCTACCAAGCCACAGGTAAACCATAAAGGCCAAGTCAGGGAGTTCTAGGGGGCTGGTACAAACTGACCAGAAAGAGCTTGGAAGCATTGAAGGAGGAACAGGGAAGACTGTATGGAAAAGAGTCACAACAGAGTTTCACATACAACCTCCTGGAGAATTTGGGTACAGAATGAAAGTCGTGGTGGATTAATTATTAGCTACATACCCTTTAATAGACTGTCAATAAGGGTCCCAAGCCTTTGGTTAGTGATCCCGGAGGCTGTATTAAATTCTAGAAGGGTCAACTTAAGTGCAACATTCTCTGATCATCAGAGGGTAGAGTACCAACATATTCAGCAACCTTTGAGATTATAGATGCCTCTATGATAAAGCACAACAGATGAAAACGAGAAAGATGCTGCCACAATAAGTAGAAGGAGAGCATGATTCCCCAAATCATCTTCTGACCTTCATCAGTGCACCATGGCTGGTACATATCCCTAACCCCTACAGCATATGCACACACACAATAATAAATAAAAACTAACATTTGCAAATACTATTGGTATTTCCTTAATCAAAGTTATATTTATTTTGATCAAGAAAGAAGTATGAATAGTATTATGACCACTTAATCAAGCAGATACTCAAACCAAACATAGAGATCCATCGAGCGACATACATGGAGCCACCATAAAATAACATCTTTCATTGCTCATACGTGCCATCGTTGGGGGTCTGTGGTTACTCACTCCCTTCTCTAGCTACTGGTGAGAAAAAAAAGACATCAGGCCCAGATAGGTCCTCTAAGGACTGGAGACTTAATAACTTATCCTTTTCATTTCCTGCCAGGCTGTACTTCTCTGCTACCTGTAACTCAACGTGATCACCACCCAAAAGTCCTCATGGCTTCACCATGGCTTCTGATAGAAACTGAATCTGTCAGTGTGCCAGTGTAGGTTTCTTTTGAGAGAGAATCAGATTGACTAGTATTGAGTTGTGTCCACCACTGCCCACAGTGTGTGACATGGATGATGAATTCATCAATGGAGCCAGAGTGGCCCATTCATGTCCCTTAACCAAAACGGTAGATGTATATAGGTGACTTTAGAAAGGATGAAGGCAGCCAGGCAAGACGACTAACCTCCTTAGTGCTCTCTTCACCCCCTAGCTAGTCTTTGATGTTGCTAATGTAGATACTAAAAGAAAATTGAATTTATCCTAGAGCTAGAAATTTTCAATATGTTCTACTTCTGACTCTGAATGTAATATTGTATCTACACAGTGGGATGAATAGGAGACTATTTTTAAATGTTCTTTTAGGAAGTTCTGTGTGGCTTTCAATAACGAAGGGATCCTGTGACATCAAAATGTTTATTGCATATTGTTAAAGTGTGGGTAGGCACAGACATGCCAAGTCCAAAATAAAATCAAGGGCTGTTATTCTTCCTGGGTGTGTTTCATTTCTACTTTAACGTCTCCCAAAGGCAACAATCACCGAGCAGTGTTATTACCTATTAGAGGAAGGCAACCCAGAGCTGACCAAATGAATGTGCATTCTGTAAGTCTAGTAGTTTTTGACTGCTGTTAGCCAGCTTTGCCTTGCTAGAACAAATAACGGAGAAAATCAACTTAGGAAGAGAAACACATTATTTTGGTTCATAGTTGTGGAGGTTCCCACCCATCGTCAACTGGCCCTGTTGCTGTGGGCCTGTGGCAAGGTGATGGCACATGTGTGTGCTAGAACAAAACTGCTGGGTTGGTTATGAGCCAGAGAAGAATGGGAGAAGGGAAATAGCTGGGGTCCCCAGTCCCCGCCTTCACTTAACCTCAGTAACCTAAAGGCCTCCTATTGGGCCTTACCCCTTAAAGGCTTTACTACTTACCAATTAGCACCGAACTGTGACCAAGCTTTTAATATTTGGACCTTGGGGGACCATTTAAGATTCCAAGTATTAACACTCTCGTATCCCAGGCCATGCCAATAGCCACAAGCTGCCATTTTCTCTGTGCTGTTTTAACGGCTCTCATCACTTGCGCATTTCAGCACAGGAGCCAGTGCTAGCCAGAAAATGCCAGAAAGTAGTGAGGAATCAGATTCCAGGGCAATGTCACCTGTAGACGGGAGCCACTAGCTAACTTACAAAGACATCCTTTCTGTTTTTATAGACGTAAAGATAGACCATTTCTATGGCTAGGGCCAGCCTCGTAGAACTGGCTGTGATCGATGGCTGTCTTTACAATGGATTCCAGGCACAGTCTTGTCTCAGAAATCCTATCTTAGGCCCAGCTCTGCAGGCTGTTTCCCTTCTAATGTTTTCTCTTTTCTCCTCTTGCATTTAGAAATAGCCCCCTTCCTCAGAGCTTGTCCGCTCAAGACCTTTGAAAACTCATTGGTTATCAGGAATATCCCTTTTTTAAAAGTACTTCTACTTACCTTCCCAGCTGCCTAGTATCTTCTTCTCCCTCTTGAGGTCTGCACAGAAGTTTGCCTTCATAGATGTCGAAAGGGTATTTGTTGACTGAGAGACTGCTATTGGGAGGTTTACTTTATTCAGAAAGCCTCTGAAGAGCAGAGCTCCACAGAGCCTTGCACAATCAGGAGGGAGGGAGTTTTGGCCCAAATCTTAAGACAACGTTGGGTAGATTTCCCTCAGAAAACTATTTTAGTTGTGTAATCCTTGAGATAAGTCTCAGATCTCATTCCAGTGTTAGCTCGTGACTGTGGCCCAAGTCTTGTGAACTCCACTTATCTATCTGTGGATGGATTTGTTGAGTAAAATGTTTTGACTATGGAGTCCTCAATTTCTGCACTACCTTTCTGGGTCAGATCATTGCAGAAGTTTAGCAAACAACAGAGATGATTCTGATAGCGGTCACAGCTGCTGTGCCAGCATCACCTGGGGATTCCCAGAACAGTAAACGCTAGGGCTCTCAAGCACCAATCAAGTTCCAGAGGAAGATGGCTCTGACGTATCTGAAGAATTTTGTATCCCTGGGTTTGGGAACTACACTAAGATATGAACATTCCTATTCTAGGGACTTTGCATGATTGCAATAATCTGCTATTTCTAGACAATGTCGTTAAGTTAAACTCAGTTGAATGGTTTAAAGTGTGCGAGCTTCTTAATAATTTGTCACATGCTCATTTGGCAAATTTTCAGTTGGTGCCTCCTGCGGAATAGTTTGTCTGCTGGGTTCTGGAAATAACGAGAAAAATAAAACCTAGGTTCCATCTTAAGGAGGAGACTTTAGACTCAAAGGCATCCGGATATGCACACACACGATTGTGCTAAGGCAATGCGTGTGTAGAAGATGCAGTCCAAACAATTTTACACTAAAGGAGTTTCAGGAAGGAAACTGGAGGCCACTGGATTTTCAGTACCCTCCCCTGGGGGATAGATGTATGGATTACTGCAAGCTGGGAGTCTGTTCTGCAAAACACTCACCAGGCTGGAAGGGTGACCATGGTGGCATGTAAAACACAGACAAAATAAGATTCTCAAAGACAGAGGTCGTATGAAAGAAAAAAAAAAGGCTTTAGTTTAAAGTCTGTCCATTTTCAGAAAGGGAGGTCATGGATGCTATGTTCTTAAACTATCCCTCTACAGAGCACCGAGAAGGAAGGGTCAGGGGAAAAAGACTAAAACTTTTATGTCTTACATATTTCTTTTCCCTGAGTAAAATGGAAAGTCCTTCTCCATCAGGGAAATATGTGGTGCTAAGTCATTAACCTCTCTCTGCCCAAAACTGTTTGCAGGCTGATGAGCAGAGGGGAGGGAGTATTCTAGATGAGCACAGTGTGTGTGCAAAAGCCCCTGATACACTTGGACTTTGTAGAAAGTGGTTACAAAATCTGCTTGCTGAAATTTTAGGTTTTCCTTTTCAGTTAGGGCCAGGAAACTTGAAGGCTAGAAAGAAAACTCCATTTGTTTTGTAACAGTGAAAAATTGTGTAAGATACATAATTGAGAATTTTGATTAAATACTTGACAATAGCATCATATGGCAAAAGAACAAGCCATCGTAGACATTTGTATCTGTTTTATATTGTTTATTTGTTATTTGTATGTGTAAATTATTATTTATATTTCCGTCTTATTTCTCAGCTTATTTTATTAATATAAGAAGTGGAAGAATATGAAAAAGTCTTCCTCACAGGGTTAACAAGAGAGCCGTTGGGATGCTGAGTTAATGTTTTTGTGCTTTGAGATTTTCTTGTTTGTCTGTTTTTATTTTTTTTTTCAGTTTTGGGCATGGATTTGTTTTGGTTTTATAATCTGAGAAAAAAATCATAGTAGATTTTATTTTTGAAGCAGAGTTTCTCACTTACCTAGTAACTGGGCAGAGATGACTGTGTCATTGTGACCGTGCTAACTGTAGTCTGGAGATGACACAGCTACATTTGGCCTTGGCTGGCACCCTGGGTAGCTCAGTGGATGGATTGGTGTGACTTGGGTTGGCTCATCTGGTGACACACAACCATGCATACTTGTTATAAAGACCATATCACTGGTTTCCTGTAAATTCAAGTGGTTTTTTTTTGTTGCTTTTATGATTAAGGCAGTAGATTCCATTTGAAAGATACATCTAAAGTCAACTATTTCTAAACCTTTTTGTATTGACTCTTTTGGTACTGTTGAAAGCAATAGATTCCTCTTGCAAGATTTTTTTTTTTTGTCAAGAAAGTGATTTGGGCTCTTTCTGTAACCTCCTTTTATGGGCTTACTGACTTGTATACAGTTCATGAAAGCAATCGGAATGCTTCTTTCTTGTTTTGTTTTGTTGGAATGAATCTTAAAAGTAAAGCCTCCAGTAGCAAATCTCACATAAATTTTTTCCCCTCACTTGCCTCTTTGCTTCTTTATATTTTCTGAATCCATTTCTTCCTTTTCTAGAAAAGTTGAGGGCAGATACAACTTGTCCCTTGCTTCTGAGATTATAACCTACACCCATCCCCAACGACCTGAGCCTAACTATATTTGGTCCTGCATGGTGGCACGCACAGAGGGGGCACACTGCCAGCTCACAGAGCCCTGAAATCTTACCGGTGCTTGCTCTCACAGTTCATCACTCATGGCTGGTTTCACACAGGCTGTGCAGTCAGGATGGAAACACCCAGCAGCTGGGTGTCCAACTGCCAGTTCATCAATTTGAGAAGTGAGTCTGTTTCCGTCCAAGTTCTTGCATGCAGGGAGTGCGTGTCTGCCCATAGCAACTTCCTCCAGGCTCCCTTCTACCTCCTTTGCCCTGTCTTCAAAGGGCTATTCGCGTCTTCAGGTACATTTCTACCATCGGAGAAAACAAGAAATTGATTGGTGGGTTGGACTTCCTCCTGTCAGCCCTGTTCCTGGGATTTGGGGGGAATGAGGTCACGTCCTTTACCAGTCTCGGCCTCAGTGGTCTTCCCTGGACAAGCCTGTGTGTCCCTCCTGATATAGACTTATAAAGCTGGAGTGGACGCTGTGGTGAATGCTCAGACATGACAGCAAACTCAAACCCGTAAACCTGAAAAGGAGAGGCAGACTGAAGCAAACATGAAAATGGCAGTCATTCAGAGCTGGAATACTTGTATGAAACCGGGTGAGGGGATGTGGCAAGGCACAGGAGAATGTGCGTGTTAGTTCAGTTCAGCTTCATGTTCACTCTGGGGAAGGTGTGACCTAGTTCACAGAGGGATTCACTGAGCCCACCAGAGGCTCAAGAGCCTAGATGAAAAGCAGCCACAGGCTGATGCTTATTTTGGTATATTTTATTCTGATGTAATTGTCCTCATTGATGAAAGAAGAAGAGGAAGACACAAGTGAGGAGAGAAGGAAGAGATGGATGGAGAGGAAAAGAGGAAGAAGAAAGGGAGAAGAGGGAGGAGATGCTTACATCTAGATGAAGTTTCAAATGCACACATCCTGATCAATACTGTCAACTGTTTAAACTTCCATTTAAATTGTAGGAGGTTTAAATGGAAGGAGCTTGGTCAAAACATTGTTGTAGATGTGAAGATGGTGTGTAGCAGTGGAGATGGTGTGTAGCTATGTAGATAGTATGTAGCTGTGTAGATAGTGTGTAGATGTGGAGATGGTGTGGAGATGGTGCATAGATGTGGAACTGATATGTAGCAATGAAGGTGCTATATAGATGTCAGAGCGGATAAGGTATTCAGGGAGCCACCAGGGTAGTCTAGCTCTCAGGAACTTGCAACAGCAGATGACACTTTCTGGTTCCAGGATAGAAAGAGACTTAGGATACAAAGAGATGGGCCACAGAGAAAGTTCTGCTGGGAGGAAGTAGGAAGGGAGCTGGAGATGCATTTCTTTGACCTTGAACTGACATTCCTCCTCTTCCGCCTGCTGTCAGCATCTCTGCTTCCCAACAGAAAGCCAGGGATCAGATCCTGTGTCCTGGCTGGTGCACTGTATCAAAGCCAATGTCCTGCGGATGGGATGAAAGGCGGAGAAAGAACAATGTAGGAGGGCAAGTGGAGAATAAGTTCCTCACAATCAGCACCAACCCGGCTTCAGGTCAAAATGGTGGGTGGGTGGATGATAAAATCACTGGCATAATCTGTGAACTTAAGTAGGAAGGGAAAACTGTGCGCAGGGTCTCCAGTTTCCCCCGCTGGGAAATAGTACTGAAGGGGAGCAGAGAAGCATCCCTCAGGCCATAGTAGGACACCAGATGCAGGGAGAGCCTTGTGTCTTTCCCTTGGCTGAGTGAGGCACTGGGAGCTCCAGGGCTGTAGTTTGCTCTGGGTTCTGAAGAAGACATGCTATATCAGGTTCTGCCTTGCTCCTGTCAACCCCACCAGGAATCAGAGATGCCTAATCCTCAACAGAGCCCACCTTCCTCCGGAAGTAGTTTGGAAGCTGAGTCGCAGGGTTCACCCCATGTCTCATTTTCTACACTCCATCCTCTTTCCATGGAATGCGCTGGTTGCAGAGTTGCTAAGAGGAAGTGGGAAGTGCTGCCTCTTCACTCTGTCACACAGGCACGGTGCGAGTGCAGCTGTGCCCCTGGTTTCATAGCCCAAGAGTCAACAGATCGTTGGTTAGCCAATCGTATTTATTGAGCTCCTGCTGTATAAACTCTGTGGAGAGGCTTGGTGTATATGTTAGTTTTCTGTAGCTAATAAGGCAAATGACCACAGACTAGGACCTCAATACAACAGAAACCTATTCTGTTCCAACTCTAGAGGCAGAGGTCTGAGCTGAAGTGGGGCTAGGCCACACTCTCTCCATTGGCTTAGAAATCTCCCTTACTCCCTCTGGTTCCTGCTCCTGGTCTTGTGGCAGTTCCTCACCATGTTGACCTCCATCTTTACATGGAGTGTGTCCACATCTCACTCTTATTTTCTTTGGGAGGACAGCCATCAGATGTAGGATCCACATACAAAGATTTCATCTTGAGATCTTTAAAGCTATGAGGTGGTGTGTGTGCACGTGTGCGCGTGTGCACACACACATACACACACACATATGATCCTTGGGGGGACACTATAATGCACATTACAGGGTGGACACCCATCCTGTTATTGTGAACATTGGTGTGCATTTTTTTT